TTTACCATTTGTCAGTGGTGTCTATATAATCTTACGAAAAGTCCCGAACTCACTGACTACAAAGACTAAGTTGTTGGTACGGGTTTTTTTACGAAAATCAAAAATGTTGAATATGTCAAGAACTAGCCATTTTCGGCTAATTTTGTAGAAAATAATTTGTATTATCACCTACCGAGAAGAATACGTCGATTTACAAGTCACCCAAATGAACTAAGTGGTATTGAGTTTAGATTTATATTCGTACTCTGGGTGCTATTTTAATTTAATAATGCTTGAGGTTATATAATGGTTGTCATTGAATATTATTTGAATTAGCATGGCGTTGAGGATAACCTCAATAGTCAGCGCCCAAATATATGAACCTTATTGTGATTTGTGAACTGGTCATACTTCCTTACCGGTGTTTCCTTTCAAACTATATCCGTTTTTAACGAGCCTTCTTCAACAAAATACATGTGACTCATAACATACCATTATGTATTAATATAAACTAATTATATTATACTCGTTCAAAGCTATGTAATTGGTCGGAATAATTGATTGGTTTAGTCATGCAACCTATTATAATACGTTTCTACTATTAGAAACCAATTATATTTTTACTAGCTACTTCCGCGCGGTTTCATACGCTCTGCTCAGCTCTTATTGGTCGTAGCGTGATGTTTTATAACATATAGCCATCCTCGATAAATGCGCTATCCACCACAATAATAATTATTCAAATCAGGCTTGTAGTTACGGAGATTAGCTCGTTCTAACAAACAAAAAAAAACATTCCTTCCGCTTTATATAATAGAATAAGATAAGATATATGATTATTAACATATATCCTTTTGATCGTAGCGTGATATTTCTTATATTGCCTTTGACTGCCAATAGAATACTGTTTTCAAGGACTAATTAGTATTTAGGTGCATTAGAATCAGAGACTTTAAAGAAGAATACGAATTAACAATTAACTGAATCAATTAACTCACCCCCTATTACATGGGACTCATAACATAAATAGTGAAAAGTGGGTGTTACATTGTACAGTGACATAATGTACATCTCTGCCTACCCCTTCGGGGATAAAAGGCGTGATGTTATGCTGAATCAATTAACTGAATACATTGTTTACAAAAATAAAAAACAATTGGTACCCGATGTTTTCCTGGTCACAATTTTAGGTTTCTTGAAAATTAAGAAATGCTCCATACAAACTTCCAGCCCTGTTTTAGGAAAATGGTGGGTTAGGAAGAAACAAAATGTTGCCTATGCTATTTTCAATTCTTTCTACTATCTCAACTCAGTAAAAAATCACGTCATTTTCTAACAAAACAAACACACGTAAACATATTTATAATATTAAGTTATACCTTTGTGTGTTATCTGACATATTTTTGACAAGTGAGTTTTATGCCAATGGATTATTGACAATTATTATTGTTATTATCATGCTACAACAATAAGGTATGCAAAGAGACTGAATACTACTTCATTTTATTAACCATTGAACGTATTTGATTGAAATTCGGTACAACGAGAGTTTGAAATACTGGCACTGGAAAAGAAATGACACGGGACAGGAAATATGCGTTAAAATTCCGGGACTCTCTATTGCTTAGACCACTGAACCTATTTGAGTTGCAATTCGGTACAACGATAGTTTAAGACTCGGAAATTGACGGCTGATAATTTCCAACCACTACCGATCCTATTTGATTGGAATTCAAATGGAGTTTTAATCACTGAAACCTCACGGGAATGGATACTAAACAGAGAAAATCACGAAAATAAACAACATTTCACAATAAATATAATGAATAAATGAATGTTATTTATTTCTCAGTACATGGTGCCCACAGATCTTAAAATGAATTAACAGTAACAATTTATGTCAAATTAAAAAACAAATATATTTAAATTAGTATTATGTATGTCTTTACCATTCACGGGACCACAGGGTCCCGGTCATTTGGGAGGCGTACGAGGGGCCGAAGCCAACTGCGCAGAGGCTCTTTAGACAACTTTAATCATTTAGATAATGGACACACAAACCGGCTACTATCCCTGTATGCACTATGGATATTCACCCAAGGACAGTCCCCGGTTAGTGTAGAACTATTGTAGGTAATGGAAAAAATAGAAGTAGGGCTATGGATGGGTTGCTGTGGACTGGTAAATTGGGAACTATGTATGACTATGGCTCCTGCCGAAACAATGTAACCATTACACGTAAAAATGGCAGGCGGAGACTCGCTAACTCACCGACCGGGCCCCAAGAATGGTTGCCAGATATAGCAACAGAGGGACAATGGGAATGTGAGTGGCTGAAGGGTTAAGAAACTACCACCGCTTTCTACTCAGATCATCTGCTCCAGCCGAAGCCTCCTGCATCCCTCGCCCACTCGCGACTTACGAATAGTTGCTTACCCTCCGAGCAGCATCACTACTCTCGCGACTCCACTCTGTACGGCCAATGCAGGCAAGCCAGAGGTGGGAGACCTGTTCCTCGTCATTGTTCACTCCAGCCAGCCAATTAAGGCAAGCCGGAGAGTAAGGAACGGTGACTTCTCCCTGGAGCACTCGGGATGATGGTAGCCCGTGGGGTCGCTAATGCCCTTGCACCTTGCACGTGGCACCTTGAGGCGAGATGACTCGCCTCAAGGTGTCACGTCGCCTTTTGATGCAACTTCCACAGATTTTAGTAGGTTCGATACCGCGTGCGACAAGCGATCTTTTAAAAATCTTTGAATGCAGTTTTGTTTCTTTTCAAAAATAAAGGAATGTTTTCTTTGAGTTAAATGTTCTATCTAAATTATTAAGAGACCCCTTCAGATGGCATTACAAAATTCCACCCTGTATAGCCTCCTTCGATAAATGGACTATCGACCACAAAAATACTTACCTAAATAATTCGGTCTAATAGTCCCAGAAGTTAGCACGTTCAAACAAATAAACTCTTCAGCTTTAAACAAAAATCATATTAACAATAAAATAAACTACTGTATATCTACTATATACTACTACATAATATATGTGTTACATAACATAACATCACGCCTTTTATCCCCGAAGGGGTAGGCAGAGATGCAAATTATGCCACTGTACAATGTATCTAACACCCACTTTTCACTATTTATGTTATGAGTCCCATTTAATACGTGTGTGACCTGGGAATCGAACCCGAGACCCCTTGCCCGGCAGTCGCACTTGCAACCACTCGGCCAACGAGGCAGTCCACGAAATCGTTGACAAACTAGTTACAACAATAAATAAAATAAAATAAAATCATCTTTATTTATTTATTATTTATTTTTACACACACACATACAACACAAAGGACATATATAAAAACAGAGTACATAGGCCCCACATATTCCGACTGGAATCTCTTCCTGTGGGCCAGTGGCAGGAAAAGAAATAACAACACCGAGACACATAGTGTGTTACACAAATACGATAAGAATCAAATAAAAAAAATAACAATAATAATACCAAAGAAACCAAAAGAAAAAACAATAATGATCAAGTAATTTATTCAGAAATGTAACACAAACTACAAAAAATAAAACTTGTTTTTAATTTACATAATAATTATAACAATCGCGAGTAATACTTAATTAATTGGAATAAGAGAGTAATAGAGGATATCTACCATGTTCTGATAGAGTGTGATCGGAACGTACCTACTGGAAAGAAACTTCAAATTATCTGGATTTGAAGTAGGGACTTGTAACAGCATCCTAGCTGTCCCTCTGTCAGAAGATGCTAGGGTTTTGTGTCGACTCCTAAATGTTATTAATTATGTGTAACAATTATAACTAGTTAACACTATGTAAGTTTAACTGTTTAAGCACATGTAAACCTAGGTAGTTTGTAAGATACTTAGCATATTTAGATTTTAGTTTTTAAGTTAATTGTAAGTCACGGGGTGACATTATCACTGTGTGATCGGAATACTGAAACGCTACTCAATTTTAAGTCGCGCTTAAGTATAGTTCTGTCTCCACTAATTCTTTGTAAAATGACAGAGATGGCATGATATTTAAGCACGACTTAAACTTGAGTAACGTTTCAGTATTCCGGCATAGATCCCATAAATGAATAGATAAAAAAAAAATGTTATAGATTTTCGGTTACCTCGCGTAATTACTATCGAGTAGCAGCGTGACAGTTGCCGCGTCAAGTGTCGCGGAATGCTGCTCTAGAATATGAGCCTCTAACATGGCTTGAAGGTAGTCGAGTTTCTTGTCAAATTATTACGTGAGTAAGCCGAAAAACATAGATGCATGATAACTTATTATGTTAATATAAACAATACTTACATATCTAGGTTAATACATTATTAATTAATTTACTGATTAATTATTAATTAGGTAATATGCTGTTCGCAAAATTTTTTATAAAAAAAAATTGCGACACATTAACAGATAACGTTGGAATTATATTACACCAGATGAAGCTATGTAAAAACCTGAGGCAGACCACAACCTATGTAAAAAAGTATAGGAAATAATTAATATTGGTTCTACTTGTGTTTCACACAGAATTTGCTATTACTCTTTTCCAAATTTCATAGATTCCACCAATCTACATAACATAACATTACGCCTTTTATCGCCCCCTGCCTAAACAGTACCTTTAGACTAACGCCACTTTAGCGCTTTAGCTTTAGCCTATTGCCATATACCGGGCACAACTCCAGACTCCGTGCTACAACTGCGAATTTTTTAAAAACAAGTAGTACTTTCCACCAATCTATTGGGATATTATTGACAAAAGAAAATAAAAGTAGGTACATATACCATTACCACTACTATTAGTGGTAATGGTATACATAGCTGACGGTTGTGATTTGTATTGATTAGGTAGGGTTTTTTTTAAGGTGGGAAAATCATCGAATCTGAGTGTCAGACTCTTATTGACTAAAAACCACCCCGTTCCTACTCCTGCACGTCGAGCCGGAGCCCCGGTAACCCGTTAAGTTCTCCGCGACATATTGATGAGGATAGTCTCCTTTTTTTTGAGGGGGGAAATCATCCAATGTCTTCTTTCACATAACTTCATTATCATCGTTAATTTTCCAAATAACTAAATATATAAAATAACAACTAGTCCGTTTTTGTCAATGCAGGCAGCGTCGTGAATTGTGATCGATTAGTTTTGCTTCAGTTTTCATACCTGGAAAGAAGACATATTGTTTTAAGCAATGCAATTTATTTTATTAGAGAGTCCCATTAGTCCCATGGAATAGGGGGTGCGTGCTACAACTGAGTTTTTTTTTTAAACCCAGTAATACTTCGCCCGACCCGGGAATCAAAGTCAAAGCATTTATTTCAATTAAACTATAATTTGGTTTTTTTGAAACGTCAACAAATACTAAATAAATAATAGTCTGTCAGTCAGTCCGTCAGTGAAGCTAGGTGAAGCTAGGTGCTCATTCTAACATGTAGATTCGAATGGGGAAGAACGAGCAAGAAACTTCATTCGTTGCTCTTTTTAACAAAGTATGTTCTACAATGTCTCTGATACATATTCCAATACTGTACGTATATGTGAGAACAATGCAAAGACACGCTTGACGCATTATCCTAATTACAAACCTAAATCGAACCCGAGACCTCTTGCTTGACGAGATCACACCCCAAGTATTCTTTTAAAAAATATTCAGTGTACAGTTTTGACTTTCTACGATTTTACTATATGTATATATGTTGTAAAATTTTACTTACATGTTAATTAAACTTACATGTTATCCAAGCATAGGGTCAAATTTTCGTTAACTCTATATCTCGTATGGTTTTCAGAGCATTTGTCATCCGTTATAACAACTCGTTTGATACGCTTGTGATAGCTAATTTCATCTGAAGTCACTGATCCAGCTTCCACGTCTCTAATTACTACTTTATCAATCTCATAGCAATATAAATCACTACTCAAATTTATTTTATTCACATTATCACTGTTAACACTATCTTCAGACTTAGCCGTTGAATCAAATTTGACATATTTTGAAAATACACCGTTTACTACCACAAAGAGGCAAAACAAGTGTAAGATTTTTGATGTGGTTGCCATTATGTTGAGGAAGTTTCACTCTCGACGAGGAGAACAGAACTGACTATAATCTGAATCTAAATTACCATTTTTATACTAATGCGATGCGATATGTATACCTATATACACGTCATGTGGCGTGTCTTTGTCACTATACTCTGTGAATCTATATATATATATCTATATATCGTCCCCGTAGAGCGAAAAATAACTAAGTCCAAAAATTACCAAAATGAGTTATCACTATCATTAAAATGAACTTTTATTTCTCTATAAATCAGTCTAACCGGTATTTATGTAGCTGTCGTCGTTTTTGTTTTACGGAATGTGAAAAATAAATAAGCATATGTTTTGGACTCCACATCATAATTGGAGAAATAACTAACTTAATTAATTCATTATACATTTACGAAAAAATTGCATGACTTAAAATTAAGTCCACTTAATTATTTTCCTATTCAATTGTGAATGCATCCACTTGTCAATAGTTAAATTAAAAATCACTACAATGATTTGGTTAATATTTGAAATCAATAGTTTGCTAAAACGCACGAAAACGAAAATTAACTAACTCGACGTAGTGAATATTGACTCTTGGTTTTTAAATTATTTGTACTGTACTGTAAAAATGAAAAATCACTAACCCATTTTAATCTTTTTTTCTCTTTTAAAAGGGAAACGTAAGACCTATAGTGAACAAAAATAA